ACTTTTGAATCCAGGCACATCAGCGTAGAGGGCAGAACCGTTCACAGTTTGCAAGGTATTGGCAAGGAAGTTCAGGATTGAATTGTGTCTCCACGTAAATCGATCGAGATAACACTAACATCCAGCGACCACGTGCAATAATGATTCTGGGCCAAGACAAAAGGAGCATTCTGAACTTGAAGACAATCCCCATCTGCTAAGGTTCTTGCGTGTCGGAAGAGAGTTATTGATATAGCGTATGGTAAAGTTATAAATGTTTTTCGGAAGTTTTGATTGAGCAGTAGACCACACTTTGCTAAGATGCGACAAGGAGAACTTTGTTACACTAGAGAAAAAGGATCCCTGACAAGTTAAAATAATAATAATAATAATAATAATAATCATAATAATAATAGTACAACTTTATTCATCATCTCATTATATACAATAATTCTTTTGTTATCAATGACTATATTAAATAATCTGTTCTTTGGGTATAATTTAAAAAGTGTCTAAATGTTTGTTGATATGTATTTTAAAAACAAACTCTGGAACATATACCGCTACATAATTAAAATATTTACCGCTATGTAGCTAAATAACTAAACTAAGATATTCCGCTAAAAAACTAAACAACTAATATAATAATCATAATGGAAACTTTATTGAAATTATATACGTATATATACAATTATAAATCTCACTAATTTAGGTAATTTATAATTGGCTACTTGAACCTACTTAATATTTATATATTAATAATGAGTATCCTTAAATGTTCAGTAATTCCGGATTTGACCAGTCCTTATCTCTGCAACAAAATATATAATATGTTGTCCTAATCGCGATAGAAATAATTTTCCTGATAGCAAAATGTTGGTGTCTTTTATCAAGACCTAGATCATTTAACATATCTAGAAAGGAATGACATTCTTTTGAGAAGACGCCCAAAGAACTAATTGACAAATTGACAAATATTACGGACTTAAATTGTTTCTTTTGCTGTGTAATGAGATCTTCGTATCTTCTTCTTTTCCGATCAACATTTGTTTGTAGATTAGACTCATAGCCAACAGAAAGTTCAAGGATAATAATAATAATAATAATAATAATAATAATAATAATAATAATAACAATAATAATAATAATGGAAACTTTTTATTAGATATTTACGATATACTATATATACATTGATAAACCTCACTTAATAAAAGGTAGCTTATCGATGTCCACTTGAATTGAATTTAAAGCTAAAATATATATACAGGTGAAAATCTTTTAAAATTAGTTAAAAGTTTAAAAGTTCTGGGTTGTTCCAGTCTTTGTTTTCGTCTACGGAATATATAATACGACGTGCGAATACAAGTAGCAATTATTTTCTTTTTTACATATTTAATACATTGATCGTCGTACTTCAGATCATGGAGCATATCAAATAAAGTATTCGTCAATTCACCAAATACACCTAAAGAGCTTATAGATACATTAACAAACTTAACTTCATCATATATATTTTCTTGATCGATCGGTAATTAGAGTCAAATATTTTTCATGTTTTCGATCTGAGTTAGTTTTCAGGTTTGTTTCGAATCCAACAGTTAATTCAAGAATGTACAAAATCTTATTTTCAATTGTCAATAGAAGGTCTGGTCGTAACTCGTCACCAGTGATGACAGATGGGCTAATAAATCCAGGCAGATCTACATACATTTTGGACCTTCCGACGTAGAGAAGGCTGGACGCAATGAGATTCAAAACTGAATCATGTCAATCATAATAATAATAATAATAATAATAATAATAACAATAATAATAATAATAATAATTATAATAATAATAATAGTATTAACTATTAAAACAAATGTTTAACAGGAATGGCCGAATAATTAATGTTAAAGCTAGATTACAGTCCCTTCTGCGCATGTGTCAAAAATGTAAACAAATGTGAGCACACTTGTTTTGATTGTGTGTGCTCCCCAGTCCTTATTCGGATATGCGCGCTCAAAATGGCCGACTCGCAAGAGTTATATAATAGAGCCGTCCACTTCAAAGGCAAATCCTTCTAATGTTGGTCGCCAAAACCAACCAGGGAATCGAAAAGAACATTTCGCTAAAAGGTATGCAACGAAAATGTACTTTAATGATGCTATTGGTCGGTGAAATCATTTCAAAACTAAAGCTGGAATTAAAAGTGACGAGGGTTCGCGAATACTCTGCTGATCGAGCCTGTATACGAAACATCAAGACGGATTTAATTGTGGTAAGCACATAACACATATCCCTGGATATTTCAGTTATTTTTGTTATATTTCCTCATTACAAAACTTTATTGTGCACTTATAGCGCTGTGGAAACCCAGACGGATCAGCAGCCATTTTGCCAGTATATGTTCAGCAGGGGGAAACAGCAGTGAAGCCATATAAAGATTCTCCTAAGCAGTACGAATACATCCTACAACTTATAATGAAGGTATGTATAACATTTTATGCTTTCCTGAATCCTAGTGAGAAAAAAGTGACTTTTAGTTTTCATTATGAAATTCCATATTCTTTATATCACATTTTCAAACAAATATTTTGATCATTCTGTAGGCATGTTAAGGGCACCTGCTGATTGATGTGTTTTAAGAGCACTTAAATGACTTTTTGGAAAGCCAAATTTTGATTTGCATGAACATTAACAAAATCAAAATATAGCTTGAAAAAAGTCATTTATTAGAAGTGTTTTTAAAACACATTGGTCAGCAGGCACTAATTGTGCATTTCAACAGGAATAAAACTAATTATAAGTCTTCTTTAGGTATGGGGATTGGTGTTGCAAGTGATGACCGAAGGCAAATTGCTCCTAACATAACCCAGGAGGAGTAATTTTAAAGGAGCAAGGAGTAATTTTAAAAAATAAAAATATCAATGTCAATACCAAATGTTGTGCTTGAACATCCAATGCACTTAATAACTTGTCTTTTATAAAATGAAATATTACTGTTCATAAAGATTAACCCATTAACATGATAAAGGCTTTCATTTGTTAGCAAAATTTGCTGTGTTTAGTAGACAGAGAAAGCTTAAAATAAGTTTGAAGCAATTTTGAACTGCAATTTTCTTCTTTTGTTGTATGTGTGAAAGTGAATAATCAATCCACGCAAAGTAATGTTTCCTGTAATTTTGCTAAAACACATATACCAAAAAGAGAAAATCCAAGTTTAAAATCGCTTGTGTGAATGGGCCTTAACAGGTGTGAATTACCCAAGTTCTTTCAAAATATTTAAAATGATCCTCCCTGTCAAGGGGAGATAATTGCAGTAAAATGGATTAATGAATAATAAAGTTTCCCTCAATGATCCCTCTAATGTATGGCCAGGTCCAGATCAAACATTTCCATCAAGTACTAACTGTGGGAAGAGAGGTCTAGGGTTATGCAAGGCTGTCTTGTTTGTGTACAGCATTTGTTTTCCAATTGTGTTGGCATTGCAACACAGCATCCACATTTGCAATACTCTGAGGCATTTTCTGGGTTTTCGTAGCTGGGTCTGGTTGAAGCGGTTCACCTGGCAATTCACCATTTACCAAATTGACAAATGCAGCTGGCTGACACTGTATAAGCTCTAAAGCAAATGCTCTTCAAAGGGCATTTAAATCCATTGCTTCCACAAGATTCTGAAATGAATATATTTATTATTTATTAAATGCAAATACTCAAGCACAGTGAAACACAGAAATTTCTTACCACCAAATTACTGCATTTTCACACCTATGTGGACTTGTATATAGACAGGTAAACTTTTTTACATAATTTGATATTTTACCCGGCAAGGATATGCATAATTATGTGGGGTATTTAATAAAACAAATCATGTGTGTTAAAGCCAGTGGTTAAAGCTTTCAGAAATGTATGTCTGCGTATATTCTTGGCAGGCAAAGTATCAAAATATGTAAACAAAGTTTACCCAGCCATTTTTAGATAATCATTATCCTTTGAGTGCACTATCACAGTGAACAACATTAGTTACATTACATATTCTCAAATGAGCCATTGCTCAGGCCATCTTTTGCGTATAAACTAACGAAACATATATAAACTAATGAACGAATACAATAAGATTACATGTGAAGCACGTTTTAATATAATTAACAGTACATAACTAATAGCAATATTATGCCAATAATACAAACTCACCATCTGTCCTTCGATTGTTCATACATGTATCAAAATCCTCTTCGTGGCACGCGCTTGAGAAAAAAATACCCATACTTTTGCAGGGACAGGAATTTCGCCCTCTCTATCGAAGACAGAAGCTGGCGCAAGCCGCGATATGAACATATCGTTTCCATTTCTTCCAGCGAAAAGCTCTCTCCAAGTGCTTCTGCCATGACAGCAACAATGACTCTGGCAATGTGTTTTGACGAACAAATACTCCAACGAAAGATTCATGATTACTTTGACACTTACAAAATTTATTTTACAATGCCGAACAATATAATCAACACAATGAGTGCGGACTCGCACCTTTGGGTCGGCTTTGTCGGTCTCTTCTGAATGTTTCATCAACGAGGCACACAAAAAACAAATGCCGAATTGATCAACAATATATCTTCCATTGATGATCTTTCAAAATATTTAATTGCTTGTCTTTCAGAAGACAATTTTAAAAACTGAATTAACAACTCCACTCCTGACTCGGACTCCATTTATTTAGTGCATAGTCGCTATACTTCATATTATACAATTGAAGTGGATCCAAACTAAAACAAAAAATGTAAACAAAGCCCGCACATGCGCAGAATAGACTGTAATCTAGCTTTAACGAAGAGAATTTTTGACCTTTGCTTTTTGTTCTTGAAATATGTTTCATTTTCCCAATGTTAATTTCAGCTATTTTGTACCGGTACCAGATTATTGACAGTTTAATGATTCGACTTCATATTAATTGTTACTGTTTTTAAGATACATAAAATATTATTCAACATGTTATCTTTCAAAATCATCATTATTGGCCTGTTTAAACTTGCCAAATACAAGCTCTAAACTCTTTTCCACACCACTTTTTCTCTTTTTCGAAGCAACACTAGAATGCACGCCCTTTTCCCCATCTTCTTTTTCCTTTTCTCCATTTTCCTTTTTCTTTTCCCCATTCTTTTTCCCTTCTTTCCATCTACCTTTTGGTTTTCTTTGTCATCTTTATCATCCACATTGCCATCATCTCCATCTCCTTTTGCATCTAGAAACGTTCAAACGAACATGCGCCGATTCATTGAAATCCTTATTACAAATTAATTTTGTTTACATGAGAAGAGGGCCAGCCCTCCCAGGCGAGATCACGCTATAGCATAGGGCTAGAAGTTTTCCATGTATAGATGCAACAAGGAGGGTTAGCCCTCCCGATAGGGCTAAGTAAAAAACCCAGATCTATCCGGAAATAACCCAGCTTTCCTTCCTTTTTTATTTAAATATTTAGCTCTAGAACAATGCTCAATTTGCTGTTAGTTATCATTCAAAAATTTGTTTGGCAAAATATGATTTTTTTTCATAATAAAATAAACGAGTTGCAGGGAAGCCAGAGTTAGGGTCGATTTTCTCATATAAAGTTATAAACATGAGATGAAAACCAGCCCTACGACTAAGGTCACCAGTCCCAGCTCGGCTCATGAACACACACCCTAAATAAAAAAATATTCACTTGTTTATACCATTACAGTGATCAACTCCCAAACTAGCTTCAAAGCTAGTCACAATTTGGGCAATAAAATTCTTCTTCTTCATCATAAACACTAAGAGAACCACCTTCTGAACAATGAACGCCACCTGTATGAATTGTTTTTTCATAATCACATGTTTGGCACTTTCGGATAAAATTTTCACCTTTTCCATATTTTTCCACCAGACTTTCAACTAACAAAAAATCATAAAAATGGGAGTATTTAGTCATTTGAAAATAATACTATACAGTATATGCACATTTTAGATTTCATATAGTGGTACATATCACATACAAAAAAATCCTCTACTAGAAGATTTTTAGATATATAAAGAGGGGGTAATCCCATTTCTCAGTCCAAATTTTGACCATTAATTGTTTCTATTGTTGTAAACCCCAGTTCCAGTGAATAAAATCTCCTTTTCCTTAAAAACAAGCAAGTCCCAGCTCCCATTTCCCCACAGGACCCTCTATAAATAATATACGCAAATATATTAATATCATTATCTTCATCAGATTCATCCATAGTATCCACTTGAATCTTAACAAACTTGCTGCATACCTATACTCTGATCATCATCTAAAGAATCGCTATGGCGATCCATTTTCTCAGATTCTGCCATTGTGTCCACAAGAGCAACAGGAGTGATATTATGTCTTTGACAAAGGAACCTGTCCATCTGCTCAAAAAATAGCCACTTATTGCTTCTACCATTTCCCAATTTTTTCGTTTTATCTTTCTCAGATTTATATTTTTGTCTTAATTTTTTCATTTCATTTACAACTTCCTTTAATGTAAAGTCAGAAAAACCTTTCGCTCGTAACTGATCCTACAAAATATATTGAGTAACATTCAAATACAAAGTAACATTCTGAACATGTACAGTAACTTTTATTTTGTATTAAAATGACGTAAATATATATTGTTTAAAATTTCCAACATAATATACGTATTATGCTATTACACACTACCAGAACTAGCCATCTTCCTCAGTGTGGTCTTTTAAACGTTTTGCTTTTCAGTTCTTGTTGCATGCTCTATCGTATGCCATGTGGTGGCTAAAATTGCAATGCCACCTCGAATCAGTCGAATGCCACCCTAAAAACTATGTTAAAATATTCAAAAATATGCGGAATAACTTACCAACCTGAATTAATTGCTTCATCGCATCACAGATTAAGCAGGGTTTTTGTTGCTTCGTTGCTCCATACTTTCCCTCTGTTTCTCTTGACGGCGGCCATTTTGCTTTGTACTAATTCCCGCGAAATATTTCGCGCCACCGAAAAGTGCTGAAATAGCAAATTTTTGGGCACGGTGCCGCTTATTTGGTGGGCCGAGACTACCTCCTGAGGAGGTCTCGGCCCGCTTAAAATTTTGGGCTCGCGGACCCTTAATTTTACGTTTACACGACAAAAATAGGAGTGCCGTGCCCAAAAAAATGGGTCCGCGTGCCAAAATTTAAGCGTGCCGTGCCCAAAATGACTCTCGTGTAAACGGGGCTCCTGTCTAGACCGTGGGACGCCCACATGTTATTTTTAGACACAGTCATGCAATATGATTGACAAATGTTGTAGATTTCATAATTTTCATTGCAAAAAAAATTATATTCTCGTGAACATGTCCGCAGAGTGTGCATTTTGCTTTTTAATTAAACTTAAAAATTCAAGGTACTTTTATATAATTAAAAAAGAGTTCAGTTCTGTGCACGGCTTGAATGCCAAGCCGTCTCAAGGTCTAAACTTGCTGGACACGGATATACTCTAACGGGCTAACAACAGGAACAACGAAATTCTCAAGAAGGCGATGTAGCTCAGAAAACAACGCCGGTAGGACCCGATAAATAAGACTTGCTGAAGCCAGGTGGCAGAACAGCAAAGACATCTTGGCTGTCAAGAACAAGCTTTCGAATACATGACTAGTTTAATTGCTGTTCTTTCAGCGTTGTGTGTCCAAACTTCGTCAAAGATTTTGATAAAGCCCTTTCAAAATACTGTCTGTTTGATTTATTTTCTGCCATAAAGCATAAAAGAAAAGAAATTCCATATAATGGAAGTTATTGCTTGTTATGGCTTGCATTTGTGTACAGTTATGGCTTGCATTTGTGTACGGTGCGAAGTGTACGGTGTAAGTGTACTTGCATTTGTGTACGGTGCTTGCATTTGTGTACGGTGCAAAGTTATGGCTTGCATTTGTGTACGGTGCTCGGTTTGGAGCTCCTCGTTTTATGTCTAAAAAGTCACTAAAACCAACGCAATCTAAGATGGATACAGAGCAAACTATTACTGGAATGAGTCTGCTACATAATTTATCTACTAGCAGCAAAGGAAAGCTCAAATGGACAGCCGATTTTGAGACTCTACAAAGATTTGTCGCAGAAGTCTTGGTTTTGTCAGACGGCGAATGGACCACGCCGGGACGACACGCAAAGCTTTACCAAAATGAAAGCATCTCTATCCGCTGGTATTCTGACACCGAATCGATCACCATTAGTGGTAAAGACGAAAAGTAACTCAAGGAGAAGCTGTTGAAATTAGCTTCAATTTCAGCGGATTTAGCTAACGACGAGGACAAGCTCGTGGATGTTGTTGAGAAAAACAGGTCAGTCAGCCATTACGACAATAAATCCCACCCAAATAATAACCTAGACGATTCCCAAGAGACTTATCTTAAAATCCTTAACTGCCAGTTACAAGCTAAACTACAAGCCTTATCCGATCAATTTGTATCGAGCATGACATACATAAATAGGACGTTATCAGATCACTCTAACCAGCTTAAAGAACTCAGAATTGCTGACAAGGAAAGTGAATTTTCTGCACTTATAAAGGAAAATAGCGATTTAAAAGACACGAACAATGATTTGAAAAATGAGAACAAATCTTTACACGAAAGGTTAATTAAACAATCTGAGTTATATATTAGCTGACCTACAAGGAAAGGTCAAATCTACAGAAGAGGAGAAGGCTAGCTTAATTACAGCCATCAGGTTACTAAATAACAAATCGGACATTAACTCGCCAAGTAACACGAGTGCGGAAGTTAATGTGGAGGTAATCAATCATGATATTATTGAACCAGGCTCCGCTGTAAATGCCCTCCTAACTGACAACGTAAATATCAGCAACCAAGATACACTGAAGCGAAAATACAAGTCAAAAAAATCGAATAAGAAATCTAAGACGTCTGAGAAGCAAAGCAAAGACGAACAACGGTGTATAACTGATTCACCTTCTAAAACCACTCAAACCTCTCAACCGATTAACGAGGTGAGTAATGTAAATAAAAATACAACTAGTTCTCCTAAAAGCATCCAATCTCCAAGCAAAAAAGTCACGGTAGTTGCTGGAGATTCTATATTGAAGCATGTAGAAGGATGGCGTCTATCGAGCGCGAGTAACCATGTGGTAGTCAAGAGTTTCTCAGGAGCTACAACTTCTGATATGGAAGACTTTTTAAGACCAGTGCTCCGAAAGGAGCCGAACAAAATAATTTTACATATAGGTACGAACGATATAAACTATCAAACTGCCCAAACGGTAGCAGAAAGAGTATTAAATCTAGGCATACAAATTACCTACAACAGATATAGTGATCTCTGGGATACTTCCAAGAACCGATAAACCGCCAAATTTGATGTCCAAGGTGAATCAGGCAAACAGATTAATAAAAGCATTTTGTATTGAAAAGAACTGGGCATTCCTAGATCATGAGTCTTTCAACTGAACTTGCTTGAACTCTCGAGGACTACATTTTAAATCGAAAAGGAACTAGTATATTAGCCAGAAATATATCTAAGTATATTAGTACTGATTAGGATATTGCCATTTGTGAGTCTGCTTCCATTTCACCTACCCATCCTGCAGCCTTTGACAAATCGCCTTACTCAAAATTATTCAAGCGGGGCCTTGTGATGGCATCACTGAACATTAATAGTCTAACTGCTCACATTGATGAAGTGAGAATTTTTACACATGATACAAATATTGATATATTAATTAGCCATTAATGAAACCAAACTAGATGCCTCTGTCCACAGCAATGAAGTAAATTTACCAGGATACGAGATCATTTGAAAAGATCGCAATATCAATGGTATAGACATGGTGGTGGGGTATGTATTTATGTACGTAGTAATTTAAATTTTAAAGTTCGCAATGATTTCATAAACGACAAGCTAGAGTGTCTAATTATTGAGATATCCAAGCCTCGATCTAGGCCGTTTTTGGTAGGTACTTGGTATAGAAAACACAATCGATCGAATCGATGCTGAAAACTCTGAATTATACTTTCTTGGAGACCTAAATTGTAATTTAACTGCTCAAATCTCTGATGCAAACACTTCTGATTTGTTAAATATCCTAGACACTTATGGTTTGACACAATTAATCTCTGAACCAACTAGAATAACACCAGTTTCACAAACCTTAATTGACCTATGCATTACTAATTACCCAGAGAAAGTGACCTCTTCCGGTGTCCTCTCGCTGGGTATAAGTGACCATTCACTTGTCTATATGATTCGCAAATCTGGTTACCCAAAGACAACGGGAAGGACCATTAAAAGGAGAGATTTTAAACACTTTAATGAGACAAACTTCCTTGATGGTCTTTCCCAGCTAAATTGGGATGTTATTCAAAATTATGATGATCCAAACGAGATGTGGAGAGTTTGGGTTGACATGTTGATGAACGTAGTGAATAAACATGCCCCAATAAGGGAGACTAGAATTGGTAAAAAAAGATCCCCTTGGATCACTCCTAATATACTACAACAAATGCGTTTAAGAGATTATTTTAAAAAGAAGTTTGAAACCACTAAAGACATTTCTACTTGGAATTTATATAAGAAAGCTAGGAACGAAGTGAACAGCAATCTGAAACTGGATTATTTCAGTACCAATTAATCTTGACTTACCAAAAAATGATCCAAAGAAAACCTGGAATCTTATAAACCAACTTAATTCTCGTAATGTTAGCAAACGCTCTACTGTTAATAGAGTTGACTTTAATGGTGCAGAAGTAACCCATACGCATGAAATAGCTGAGGCATTTAACACACATTTTACCGAGATAGGTGAAAACCTGGCTAAAAGTATTCCTATAATCGATGTCAACCCAATATCTTATATTAACTCTACAAATAGTGTGTTTTCCTTCAAGACAATTGAGATTAACTATGTTAAAGATTTGCTTGGAAGGATAAACACAAAAAAATCTAGTGGTCCCGACAACATTCCATGCAAATTACTAAAGTTAGCTAGGGATGTTGTATCCCCTTCCCTAACGCATATATTTAACAAATCACTTTGCACTAGCATATACCCAAAAGAATGGAAAATCGCCAATGTCACACCTATCCATAAAGATGGTGCCAAACACGACCTCAACAATTATCGTCCGGTGCCTGTCTTGGTTTATAAAGTTGGTTTAGTTAAGGTTTCCTCCTGCAGCTGGTAACACTGGAGCAATGAAGGATAGTCCTCACTGGACCTTTAAAGAGAAGAGTTTAAAACTGACGATATACAGGCTGAGGTTTTCTATAATATAGCTTCTGCACTTTTATAAAATAAAAGGGTTAAGTATTTTTTTATAACAAAAGGCCTACTCTGGGACCTCAACTCGCTGCGAGATAAGGCGAGCCTATGCGAGTTAAGGCGAGTTAAAGAAAAATCTGGATATTGTATACACACTATGAATTTTGCATTGTTTGCGCATTATATTTATGCATAGCAAGTTTTCAGTACTTGAAGTAGCAGGCCTAGAAAAGTGTGTTAATCTATATTCTACATACATGATATGCACAATAACTCGGGACCTGGAAACGAGTTGCATCAAAGCGAGGCTGGTAGCCAGATGCCAAATTGAATAATTTGAGGCATTATGCATAGTGTGTATAGAACTGCATTGTTACCTAAATCTTCACAGTATCAGTTGCTAACTTGCTATGGCTAGCTTCACCACAGATTTTGTAATTTTTAGCTGTTTTCATGAATCATGACATTATCAATTAATTATTAAAGTTAGGTTCAAATTTGTCCTTGCATTCAATTTTTAATTTAATTCAATATAAACATATATATATTGACATGAAACAAAGAAAAACTAAAAAGCTTGCGGAGCAAAAAACGTATTGTCTAGCCTTCTGACAGCCCGCCATGTGTTTGTTTCTGATCGATAATGTAATCGAGTTGTCTCTGGAAACTGTGCTTGAATATTGAGAATATGTAAACTTGCATCAGGC